TAGCACGACCTACGGATCACCTTGTGAGCTCATGTTTCCTGTTATTATAATTATCTCCCATGTTTCCTCTTAAATCCCCGTTTTGGACGTCCTGATTCCATAGTTTTCCCTTATTTATCCTTATTTATCCACATTTCCCCGGTCGTAGTTCCCTTGGAAGTCGCCATGGTCTTCCTTTAACGTTTGCACCTACCTCAATATCCTCACACTCTCATGTATTTCCATGTATTTTTCTCCATTATTTTTGGACACTTTTTTTTTCTCCACTAGTTTTTTCAATTGCTTCCAAAACAATACAAATCATTCTTAAAAATACAGTTGTTTTTCATCTTGACATGATTCGATACATTTTCAATACATAGATTATACGATCGATATACACATGCACACACACACGCACACGGCACACACAACACACCAGTTGGCGTACGCAGGATTTTTTCAAAGGGGGGGGGGGGGGTTAAAATCGGACCCAAAATTTCGCAACGACTCAGCTTTACTATTTTGCTCCCGAAAATTTGAAAATCGCGCCGGCCGAAAAGTCGCTCTTTGGGGGGTGGGGGGGGGGGGGGGGGGGGGGGAGTAAGCAGACACTTTTTTTTTTTTTTTTTTTGACTTCCAAAAAAAATCGCAACGACTCAGCCAGCCGAAACGTCGCTCAGTGGGGGGGGGGGGGGGAATAGGGGGGGGGGATAAGAGGACACACTTTTTTTTTTGGGGGGGGGGGGTCTCGAAATTTGAACATTTGACATTTTTCTTCGGTGGGGGGGGGGGGGTAAGGTCACCTTTTTTGGTCAGCCATGGGCATAATTTCTTTTTTTCTTTTCTTTTTTATAATTAAAAAAAAAACCCAAAGGGGGGGGGGTCGGGGGTTTAGGGGAGTTTTAGGGGGGTTTACACATTAGAAATACCAAGGGGGTTCAACCCCCAACCCCCCCCCCCCTCCTGCGTACGCGCCTGACACACACCCACACACGCACCGACCCACACAAATATCGGCATACCAAAGTATTTGGTTCCTCTGCATTCCACAAGGTACCAAGTATAACGCAATAGTGATCATTATTAAAGTTATTATACTTCCGTAGTATTTGGCCTTATTCATACCCCTGCCATATCTAGTAAGAATATGCATTTATTATAGATACTATCAGATAATGCAGAAGTATTTGATATACTCGTTTTTGATGTGGACATGGTCCGTAATGTGATGGGCAAACTGTGTCTGTGCATGTTGTTGAGAGTGGTATGAGAAAATTTGGAAGTCACTAAGTAACTGATAGCTTAAAATGGAGTAAACTCACTTCATGGCCAACAAAAAAGCATACACCACATTAACATGCATGACTTGTGTCTAGTTCTTCCTCTTTCCAACTAACTGCACAATAAAGCCGTTTTAGTATTGAAATAGTAGCCTTTTGTTTGAGTTAAAATGCTGAATAAACCCTTAGAATAGTACATGTTTCCAAGAATAGAATATTTCATTACAAATGTACGTGTACATCGAGGTAGTCAGCTAGTTGGTTGCCAGGGAGCGGAACAATTTGAGAGATAAGATTGCCGAGACTTGTATTTGATATCTACCGTCTATGTAAATAGGAGTGTACATGGTTCATGAATATGCAATAGGAGTGATCGACGTATAGAGGGATGTACCTGTCTCTCATTTGCATATACTAGGTTTTCTGCCCAGTCGCTCTGATAACACGTAATTGTGAATCTAAAAATACGCCTATTAATATTAAGAAAAAAACATTCGCAAAGACCTCGGAAAAACCAACCTATTAGGAAATTTCAGAAGCCTTGTGCTTTACCTTCTAAACATTTCTATAGGCGATACAATCGGGTTTTCAAATTGCCTTAAATATTTTATCTCGAAAGTCCTTCCAGACGTGTTAAAATTGATTTGATATGTCTAGAAGACGTGTTTATCACGTGGTCCTAATTGACTTTTAAAATGTAATGAATATGACTGCCAAGTCTGCCTCGGCTATATTGACCACACATTGAATTGAAAACATCACTTATTCCACCACCCCACTCTCTCTCTCTCTCTCCCACTCCCTCTTCTTCTTTTTCTTCTTCTTCTTCTTCTTCTTCTTCTTCTCTCCCTCTGATGTTCTGCATTCCTGCTTCACCGTCCTATCTCTCTTGCTTGATTATTATCATTTTTATTATTATTTTTATCAGTTGTTGTTATTATGATTAGTAATAGTATTACACTCAAAAATTATAAGTAAGGAATTTAAACGTACATCATTTTTTCAAACAAATTTAAGTCGCCTAGTATGTTGTATTATGAAGATTAATATCCTGCCTATACCACTGGGAGGTTGAGCTTGATACCGCACCTCATCCTTTATTCACCCACACATCTCTTATTTAGCTTAACATCCTTACGTTGCTAATGTGTTTGTGTTCCTACCACTACTTATTATCGACCTCCACCTCTCTGGTGTAGGCCTGTGCTTTCTTCATTTTAAATTGCCATGCTCCCCTGGGAGCTTCCGGATGTGGAAGTATTAGAATTGGTGGATATCCTTTTAATGAGTTATCCGTGAAGGTCCTGATGAGAAAGACAGTGGCATTGGTTGATTGCTAATGGTGTTGAGTCGCCATTGAATGCCCTCGGGCTATAACATGATGGAGCATAATACATCGGGCTAGGTGGGGTATAAAAAAGGGGGTATGCATTTTCTTTGTCACTAAATGAATTTGATGACTTTTAAGGTGATTTGTGAAGTCAAAACCACAACCACGGTGGTAAGGAAAGTAAACTCACATCAACTTTGGTTGTACTCCCGAGTAAAATGTTACATATCTTTATTTAAAACAAAACTCAATACGCATGTGGACGTAAGACATGTCGCAACCGACAAATAGTATGCACATAAAAATAAGCGAGCAGGATTTAGAGCATGCCTGTATAGACTTCTTATGAATTTACTTCGAGAAATGCGAGGACGACTTTCATTTCCAGTTTCCATCAATGAATCCATTGTAAAAGAAAACCGTGCATAAATTGCCTATCACTTAGTAGACCCTTTCCCCCATTTGCCTGACCCTAAATATCTTATACCCGTAATACTTCATCGCTGCATGGGATATTTTGTCTCGTTGCGCCAAAAGCCATTTTCCACCGTCTGGAACTAATGGAGCGGGTACAGAATTGGCAGGCCTAATGAGCACTCAACGAACGGTTGAGACGACGAGTAATCACCATTGACATCATGTTTGTCTTTTAGTTCGACGATATCCCTCTCCTCTCCAACATGGCAGTTTCGTGAAGGCGATGGGCAATAACCACCTCGCTCTTTGTAATTAGAGATAACAGGTTCGGCAAATATTGCTATACGAATTAGACTGAAGAAAATTCGACGTTGCTATGATAATTTGTTAAGCTGATGATTTTTCGAATTTTCTATGATTTCCTCCACTTCAGCGGTTCATCTCCCCGCCTAGCTGCCACCCCATTTTTCCCTTTTGGAGGGTTGAGTGGCGGGGTTGGAGGGGGGGGGGGGGGCATCTTCCTCCATATTTTGTCCCCACCTTCTTTAAAATGGACTTGAAGCTGTAACCTTCTTTTCTGCTTGTCACCTAACTTCTTACATGAACAATAGGCTATCAAAATGTCTACATCATAATTACAAGTCGATTTGTATTTCAAAACAATATACTCTAAATAAATCATAAACAACATCTGTTTTTTTCTCCTTTTTCAGATGGCCCTTCCCTTTACCAAAAATATCCTAATTATCATTATAGAGACTAGAATCCGCTCACCAAAAAAGAAGGAATTCGGGCCGAATGTTAATATATTGCGAAACACATTGATATTCCAGGGGAAAATGTTGTAAAAAAGTCATGGATATATAGGGAGGATTACATCATCTTACAGTCGATGACCCTATGCCTCAGCCAATGATCTTCCAAATTAGTGATTTATAAACTTACTGAGCTGAACCTGTTTTTATTAGCATCCACCTAGATGATATATTCATATCCATGGAAACTCCTGTACGGCAAAGACTAGCGTTTTTAGGCGCTCATCAAATCAGAGAGGCGCTAGCGGAGAAGGGTGGTGGATATCTCTAACGAGCTTACATCAAAGCTCTTTACCTACCAGGAGGGTTGTTGAATTTCGCGATGACAGTTTGATATCAGATGCATCATGATGCAGGTTGTTATGGGCGCAATAAAACCTGACAGCGGCGATCTGAAACATTCTTACGAATTCAAGCTTGCTTATCGTTACGTTTGAATTCATTATTTGCCACCTTCGTATTGTTTCATCTAAGCTTGGAGCGATGCGTGTCGAATGATATTGGAAAGATAACGGATGGTGGGGCTAGGAAATAATTACACCGTGAAAGCACGGGACGGATGAATGCGGAATCGTAATCATATTCACCAAGGAAGGATAAATTGCTTTCTTTCCTGGAGGATCCCTATCTCATATAAAGACAGACGGTCGCAGGCAATATTCTCTACCCCAAGTGATCATTTTTCCTCCGGACGAACGCGTGTCTGATACTGATTTGATGTGCGGAAGACATCGAGGTCGTGTTTGCCAAATGCTCGCCACCATCTTCTTGAAATACTGAAGCTTTAAAACTACAAATAAAGACATTTTATATTGAAAGTCTTCTCTTCCTAACAGGGAAAGCAGGAATAAGATTTCGTTCTAATCCCACCCTCGGATTCTTAAGACGAATTGCACTATTCATGGGATGTATGCTACTATTTAGCTCGTCTTTTGCTCATAAGATGGATTTATTTTGCAAGCAGAACATATATTGGACCTAAGTTGAATTCTCGTCGTGAACATTAGATTCTAATGGCATGTCTGCGGGAGAATGTCAGATCTAACTGCGATTTTATTAGGGCGTCATTTTGACGTAAGCGACAGAGGTATTTGACATTATTTGAACCTGATATCAAGTCCGTGAATTTCTTGGATTAGAGGAGATATATAGAGCTATTACTGAACAGATATAAACATGTCGAGTCACGGCGATGGCGGTTCACCAACTATGTCTTCCATCTTTCGTCGTATACCATCGGTTCGTGAGCGAGCTCGACGAGGAAGCCTCGGGCAGGTTTCGGGAGGAGCCGCCATTCATGATGCCGTAGCAAAGGGCAAGATCCATCTTGCCAAGTTTATTCTAGATGCTGTCGAGGGTCAGAGTGTTGTCAACTCGCGGGACTTGCATGGGAAAACCCCTCTCATCAGAGCCATGAAGGTCGACGATGGCCAGACGCGATTAAAGGTCGTCCACCTTTTAATTCAGCATGGAGCCAATGTAAATCATCGGGATAACATGGGTAGGACTGCACTCTGCTATGCAGCCGAATTACACTACAATGACGTGATTAAAGTTTTGGTGAAAAACAACGTGGATCCGAACATAGACGACAACAATGGGAATACTCCATTAATGTATTGCAGCATGGTCGGAAATGCGACGGGGATATTGATTCTCACAAGATCGTTTCGAAGATTAGGCCTCGACGTAGATAAGCTGAATGCTGAGGGGATGAGTGCATTGATGACGGCCGCCAAAATTGGCGATATGGAGTGCGTGAAGCTGCTTGCCCACGAGGGTAAGGCATCATTAGATCAAAGAGACCAAATTAAGAACATGACTGCCGCGGAATGGGCTCGTGAAGGGGGTTGTTCTACTCCAGAAATGGAGGCCTTTTTGCCTAAAATCCGTCGCCAGTCGAAACCGGCAGACTCGAGCCCAACGAAACAGGATGCTGATCCCCGGTCAAACTTGCAAAAGAACGAAAGCATGGAATCAAATAGCTCCAGTGCTGATGGATACAGTCCACGTGGTAATAATAGCAAGGATAGTTCAAGTGAGGAACTCTCTCCAAGACAGTATTGCTCGAAGGGAACAATAGCCGTACCTACCCCGCCCACCTACCGGAAGAATCCTCAGCCGCACATGGACGCTTTGTCACGTCGTTTTCACGCCTTACATCCGGTCAAGAACATCAATGATATCCCTGGTGTAAGGAAACACATCATCGAGATGAAACGAGCAAGCTTACCAGAAGTTACAAACCCTGAAGCACTTCACTACCATTACGAAGAAGATGCTGTCAATCTCGACCAGGATTCCGACAACCGATCGGGAACGAATAACATCTTCATAAAGCGAACAAAACCAACGTCGGGGCCACGCCGCCCCCTATCTGCCATTAACCGCCACTCTAATCAGAAACAGTCCAAGAGCTTTGATGGGTTCACGTACGAACGAAGTTCCAATTCCGATGAGGAACTTAGCGTGCAGAAGAAAATGGGTCAATCTTTGTCAAATCTCTACCTAGAAAATCCAAACACCAAGAATTTGCTTAACTTGTCATTCTTGAGTCGAAGCACTGAAGCGCTGTCCCCGACGTGCTCTTCCCCCGATCCTGCATATATGCGACACAGTGTCAACAGTACAACACATATTAACGTGGACATTGAGTCCAACAAGTCACGACCGAAAGAGCACATGTTGAGGGTAGATGTCCATGGTAAAGGTGACCAGACACCACGCCTACCTCCTCTTTCTCCCAAGCGCGTTGTGACTGGACAGTAGAAAACCTTAATGTCATCTCTGATGGAAACGCACTATTTCTGCATTATTTCTTTATGCCATGTATAGTAACTGTGTGAGGTATTTCTTTAAATGTCAGGGTGTATTTTGCGTTTGTACTTTTCTCAATATTCATTTATAATAAGTGTGTTAGAGTGGTTTGAGGCTTTTCATATATATATATATATATATATATAATTATATACATGTATAATATTGATTGAATTATTTGCCTGGTATGTCTTCCTCTTATGTTACCGTGTTACTGGGGATATTTGAGTTAACATGAAATGGCATACACGATGTATTTCTGAGAAAAGTCGTAATGTTTGCCACTTATTAACAATTATTATTCACCGTTGCTTTTTTCCACGTCTAGTGCAATATTTTTAAACACATTCCACTTTATCATTGAGTAGACAGAAATAGTAATTAAATGATTTGCAGGTCAAATCTTCTTTATTTTGTACTTTTATAAAAGCAACTGCATGTGGCTGTGTAACCGGTTAAATTTGTTAATGTAGTAAAAACTTAGTTTTTGCTTCATTGTTTAAAACAATTTAAAAATTAGGTGCTAAGATCTAGATCATTACATACTGATAGTGAAGTGGACAGAGGGAACCGAATATACGGCCCTAACCTAAATGTGACGCAAGCTATATAAAATATGATGTTTTGAATACACAATATATAGCTTAAAATTTAGATCGTTTTAATGTGTACATGGTATAGCGTTTTTTCCAATTTCAAATATGAATATAATCATATAATCAGTTTTACATTCTCAAAAATGAATATAATCATATCATCAGTTATACATTTTCAAATATGAATATAATCATAGAGATAATGGAATATCACCGGCTTAATGTGGACAGAAAAATTTTCAGCATGTGATTTTCATTTCTTTAAAAGCCACCCTCTCCCCTTCTCTCTGTGTGTCTATTTATCAGTAAAAATTGATCAAGTAAATTATTCAAAGTATATCAGTGTTAAGTTATGAGCTCATATCGGATCCATGGAGCTGTTACCGCAGATGAAGGAATTATTTTGTACAGGTTTGCTTTCATTGAATTCAGATATAGGACATAATACGAATGTGAAGTATGTGTTATTCGATTTTTTTTCTTCCTATCGGGAGGTACCTGTAATACCACTAAATTACACAAATTTCTGACGTAGGACTGCGGCGCATGCGACTGCCCTGTAAGAGGGAGATTGTACAATACATTTAATTATCGGCATAGTATGATAGACTGATTAGCGCAGGCTTAATTAGCGCAGGTGATAACGCAATAGAAATAACTTCTCATGTTCGACGGGCTTAAGGGTCAAATAGTTCTCGACACAGCAGTGCGTGAGAACACACAATTCTGTAAACCGAGTTACAGGCATTTTGTTTTCCAACATGATTCATTCACACATCTATCTTCGTGGCCAGCCAAAAGCACGATTTGAGAAAATGCGTGTAAATACCAAGGCGAAGGTGCCAGTTTGAATACCAAGATGGCGACAAAGAATTCGCATGGCGTCCTATAACATCACAAAACATTGTGCTCTTTTATAATTATTGCTGAAAAATTAAATCGATTGAGAAATAAGCTGGGCAGTATCCGTTTCATGTAGATGATGATTTCATCAAAAAGCAGTTTAGTCAAAGTTTGTGGCGAATCCCGGTGGTCGCATATAGAGAGACACAATCCCACTCTTGCAAAATATACCTCTAGGGAAATTTGGCAATATTCTTCATATTTTGTAAGAAGTATAAGAAAGAAATGAGATAAAATGTGCACCTTATTGCTAGCTCCTCAATTAGAAATTTGTTTAGAAACCCACAAATATAGGAGGAAACCATATGTTCTTTTACTTTAAATGGATAGAATAAATGAATTTCACTTTCAACAAAATTATGGGCAAATCACTGTACAAGCTGTTCCTTTTATAGATGCAATTAATTAGTTTAAAATACAGTTATTTTTTATCTTCTTGAGACGCCGCAATGTTGCACTTTGGGATGTACAATTTCTTGCTTTACTTTTTTCCTCTTCCGCTGTCGGTTTTTAACTTTGTCTCCATGTAATTTTTCTCACGCATCGTCTCTCCAACCTTTCTCTGTTTCTCCCCTTCACTTGCTAATTCGATTTTCACATTTCCTGTCGCATCTGGAAATACTTAACGCAGGAGACAATCATTTTTGCTTATGTTTTTAAAAATAACATCGCGTGGTTGGATACGATTGAATAACTGCGTAATATGAATCTAAAATTGATTGTTATCATTTGAGAAAATGAGTGCCGCTTTTCAAGAAAATTCTCAACTGATAACAAAAATTATTATTATTTTAATATTAATTTTAACATAATGATAATATTATACAATAAACGCGGATGGACGTATGATGTATACGCATTCGTATTTTTCATAATTTGATATACGATTTTATTTATTACAAACAAATTATTCCTTTTTTATTAGTTTTCCTCATACAGGTGATGAAAGTTAGCATAGTCACATAAACGGAGACCTATATTTGGTAGAATAAATCATGTAATTATCACAGCTTGTACACAAATTTGGAAAACGACATTATTGGCATGTATAAATATATTTCATTTACCTATTTGATCAGTATATTCCTAACAACACAAACATAATTAGTTTTTCCTTTCTTTTGTTTGACTCGGCCTTTTGATAAAAAGCCAATGGAAAGGACCTATTTTACAAAAAGTGGATGCATATGCATTATGTTAGGAATTTGAAATTTACCTAGTACGTACAACTTCAAAGTATGATTCAGCATGAAAATAAGTTAAAGTAATTTATGTCTTGTCTACCTTCCACTGTTACCAGATGCTTGCGATTATAATTCTAATTTTCAAGAAGTTCCCACCATTGTCATATTCCGTTACCCCGGTAACTGATTACGTGATAACTGTGATGCCGAGTGGGATTGATACCTTCTACTGTGGCATGGCCATGAAATATATTATCAGCAATTTCTTCATCATTTCATGACCCCCTTTGTGATGCCATGTAATGTTATCTCAAGATGTTTGTACTTTCTTGGTGTAAACTAAACATACGGGATGCACTGACAATCAAGCCTCCGTTCAGGCGCAATGCGGTAAGCCGCTAATAAAACGCCACTGTAGTAATTTTGTGCGTGCAAATGAATGGGTAAAATACGAGGAAATATCATAAATTATGAGGTGGTATACAGCGGCGTAGCCGAGAACGTTTAAGGGGCTTGGTACACCCCCTTTTTTGCGTGGATACCCCTACCAAAAATAAAATTTGTAAAACAATGAGAGCAAGTTTATTGACAAAAATTAAATTTGCAGAATTTAGAGTTTCTTGAAATATATGCCCCCGGGTAAAGTAGTTCAAATGTCAGGTTTGTTTATTTATTTCATAAAAAAAGTATTATTAATTTCAATTATTAATGATCAATATATTATAAATGTATGTACAATACACCACAAATATTATAATGCTTCACTTTGTATGTTTTCTATTTAGATTGATGGTATAAAAATACAGTGTAATAAATTTCATGAAATTCATGAAAATATAATAGATTGCAATGTTCTGTGGTCTTTTTACTTCGTGCGTCTGGTTTTCCAGTAAAAGTAAGAGAATGAAAAGTGAAGAGTCTTGTAACCGGTTTCTTTAATCTCCGGACAGTGGATTAAGATTCACATTCAACCTCGACCAGCGGCCTCGGTTAAATATAAATTCATTCGGATTATTCTCAATTCTTCATTTCCTTTGTAAATAGAACTTTTCAACTCATCACTCTTTGTCAATGCCCAAGAAAATTTGGGATATCCATATTTGGCAGGAATTCAATATTTTGTACAGTGGGTATTAAAAACGGATACCCAACTTTGGTAGCGTATATAGTGAGAAATTCATAATGAATGTGACCTTGATATGTATGTCATGGCGAAGAGTAATTTGTTTTCTGTCTAAGCCATATTCACATTTTTGCGCTATACGGATGACTGAGCACTAGGTTTGTTAAAAATTGTTCTCCAAATCTCCGTGTACCAAGTTTGGGATGATGCACCAAAAAATGTAGGTCAGGCCATATGCAAAATCCTTTTGAAAGGTAAATTTTGCTTTTTGCTTCAGTTTGACCGATTTATGTAGACATCGTCACAAATCGTAGTAGAAGCGTACTATAGAAGCGTAATAGTCAGCACCAGCTTAGCGAAATCGTCCTACAGTCTTCAGGTCTGTATAGCAACGTAGTATGGTCCTGTGTGTCGTAGCGACAACATAGTACAGAAACGACCACTTGGTCGGCATTGGTCTAGGTGCAATCGTATAGAGGCACCTAGTCAGCAACGCTTTTGACGTAGAAGCATCGTGATGTCGTCTTTGATTTGCCAAATTGCTGGGTTTAAAGGGATCGTATAATGTTAAATCTGAGATACACGGCCCTACGTGTTATCAGTGTCTGTGATATGGTGTAATATTGAAGCCCTAAAAAAAAATGCGCTTCAAAATGATTAAGAAGTGCCTCAAAAAAGTAAAAATCTTTGAGTGACCGGTTTTACCATACTCGTTTACCCCAATAAACTGTAGTGTTATGAAAACCGTCAGGCGAACGGTTTTCAAAACTTGTAATTCCAATCATAAATATCTTGATAATCATACAGGCGATCGGCTTGTAAAAGTCATGGGGTCCCTGACTGACCTAAAGGTTTATAATTATCATTGCATCATGAGCTAAATCCAGAATTTTATTTCAGAATCTGAGACAAAGTTACCGGATCCCTTTAAACGGCGATAATGCCCCGATTTGATAATTCTTTCAGATCGGGGTGGTCGGCATGGTCTTCGTAAGGTCCCAGCGATGTGTGACCGGGGTATCAGTCATTAATTTTCATAACCAAGTCCCGTGGAGAGGACCTATAAAGCCAATTTCCACCTGGTTTTCAAATTAGATTTGAAACCTCTAAGGATGTTCTAATTCTTAGTTCACTGGGTCATTTTGT